TATTGTGAGCATACAGAGCTCTAGTTAATCTCAGAAGTAATTCTTACTAGAGTGGTCCTATGCCTATTTTACAGATTTACCTAGATTAGATCCTTGTTAATGTTCGTACAAATCTAGTTCCTGCTGTAGCTGTTTACCAAATATAGTTTTCTAAGTTCTAGTCAGATATTTCATAAAGTAGATCCTCCTAATCTAGTTAACTACTAAGCCAAGTTGGTGTTGTGCTAATGCAAGACACTAAGCTGCATTATACAGTAAATACTTGCATCTATCAATCTCATATCCTTTGTACTTAGGTTTTTTATTAGATCAGATATTAACTAGCTTGACTATTGAAATCTGTACTACTTTACCAAACTCAGAATTTCTACTATATAAGTTCCTTGTCTTTAGATCCTATTAAGATTTATTCATGCAATGTAACTCAAATATTGTATCACACTTCTAATATCTGATTAACATTAGTATAATATGATTTACAAAGTTGTAACCCCCAAAAACAAGCAGAGTTTACTGTAAGTTAAGTACAAAGGTCTGAGTAATTATTTAAATTCATTGACAGTCTGGCAATCTAACTACTACACTAAGATCACCAAACTAGTAGCTAATTCTCTTGAAAGTACAATTATATATAAATTCATAAGAAATAGTTTGATTAAAAAAAATCTAATAGAATTAAGTAAAAAGTTAAAAGAAGAAGAAATAGTTAAAATTTATACAGATAGTACAATTGTAGCTAATAGTAATAGAGAAAACAAGATAGAAATAGGCTGAATTGTAAAATTAGAGAATAGATTAGCTAGAGAAATTAGTTTTAGTAGTAGTATAAGAAATTGGCTCTCTTCTACATATGCTAAACTAGGTGCAATATGGACTGCTTTGCTAATAACTCTAGTTAAAGTATAAGTTCACATATTCACAGATAGCAAAGTAGCAATTGAAGCAATCAAAAAATCTAGAAATAATAATAAGCTATGTAACTAGTTTAAAGTAAAAAACTGAAGTTTATTAAGGCAAATACAAGAATGTTGTAAAGCTAAAAACCTTGACCTAAAGTTACATAAGATTAAAGAATACAGTAGCAATGCAGAATATGACTAAGCAGATAATTTTGCTAAGAAGAGATTGTGCATACAAGATACACTTGAGATACCCAAAGTTGTATCTCATAATATTGCTTTTATACCTAAATAAAAAGAACAAATTATAGATAGCTCTTTAAGGTCCTTTGTTAACCTAATCTCAGTAGCTTATCATGAAACTGAGTAGTTTAAACTAAGCAAAATAGTAGAAATTATCAATATTAGCTAAGAAGAGCTTGTACATGAGGGTCTTATTTAGAACAATACCTAACAAGTACTTAAGAAATAGCAGAGTAAGAACTATATTAGTATGAAAAAAAGAAAAATACTTCTATTTTGCATCAAATATATAAATAGTACATTGCCAACTAAGGATATATATTTCTTAAGAAACCTAACACTATACAAAAATTAGAGATGCATAGTCTGTTTTAGAAAAGATAAGTCACTATACTATATGATAGAATATAAAATTTATATTAAGATTTAGAAAAACTTAGAAGAAGAAGTATTATAGTTATAGGCTAACAAACAATAATGAACCTAGATATTTCATTAGAGAATAGATCTTTTATAAATGCTATCTTTAGAAATGAGCCAAACATATATATACAAAATAGAAAATTGCTTATTAAAGAACTTATAAATATTAAACAACAAAGAGAGGTTATGAAGATAACTAACTCTAAAAGGAAAGCAAACAAAGTATTATCAATATTTTTAGATTAATTCTGAATATACTTTTTTAAACGCTTATAGAAGTTTTGATATAAAATCATGATTGAATAGAAAAAAAACAATATTTTAGCAAAGGAAAAAAAGACAAAACAAAAAAAGAAGAAAGCAAATCTAGACAAAGAAAACTGCAAATTATTTAATGCAAAAAAGAAAACAAAAAAAGAAAAAGAATTTGCTATTCAGAAGAAAGTATGTAAAAGAATTGACTAATAGATAGCTTATAGTATAAAAAAAGAGTATTCATAACTTAAAATAAAATAGAAGATCTTAATAAAGGCTAATAGTAGCCTTTTGAGGATTAGAAGTTAGTAGGTTATGAATATAACTTATTGCTTTTATAAAGAAAATTACTATTGTAGCAGATCGCATTTAGGCACCTAAAGATAGTTAAGTAAGCCTAAAATTAGTATAAAGAAGAGTAATTTAGTATAGAATATTTATAGTTTTTTACTCTGTAGCTTATTTAAGCTTTTCTTTAATAAATAATAGACAAGATTATCTAAATTAAAAAAATATATATATGAAGATATTTATTTCAAAATATCAGAAAAATACTTTTATTATGAAAGAGTATAAAGACTCAATAATAAAATTAAGGTTTATATATGCTGCTTTTATACTTTACAAAATATTAAAAATATAACAAACTACATATATTATAAGAGCTATATATACTACAACTATCACTAATAAAATATATAATATAACTAATACATATATAAAATATATTATAAATAGTATATATGCTATATATTTGATAAATAATAAAAGTGTTTTAAAAACTATATATAATAGATATATTATATATAATGAATCTCTTGCAGTAAATCAGATTGTATAAATCATTGTAAAAAGGTCAGAACTTAGATATTTCAAGATTCTATAATTGAATTTTGTTAATTTTTAGCTTATTAGATTTGCTTAATTGAGCTAATTCTAATTATATATGTTTTTTCTATTATAAACTAGTGAATTAAAAGTTATTAAGGTTTTTGTATTTTTTTTAATATTTTATACTAGTTAAAAAGATAAAATTTGATCTCTAATTAGAAATTGAATTTCAAATTTTTGGTCAAATTCAGATCAAATCAGTCAAAAAATTTAACCTATAATCAACTTATAATCAATCTAAAAACTACTAATCAGCTTAAAATCAGTATCTAATTTTAGGTTAAATAGTTAATTTTAAAATTTGACCTAAAATCAGACTCTGAATTTAGATTATATTTAATCTAAAATCAACTTCTAAATTTTGAGGTTGATTTTAGATTAAATATATATAAAATTCAACCTAAATTTAGAGTCTAATTTTAGATTGAATTTTAAAATTAACTATTTAACCTAAAATTAGATACTGATTTTAAGCTAATTAGTAGTTTTTAGATTAATTATAGGTTAATTATAGGTCAAATTTTTTGGCTAATTTGATCTGAATTTGACTAAAAATTTGAAATTCAACCTCTGATTAGAGGTTGAATTTTACTTTTTCAACTAGTATTATATGTTAACAATATATTAATCTAATTAAAAGTTGTATATATATACTTTTTTATTAGGAATTATTATAGCAAATACATTTTAATATTTAAAAAATAGAGTAATAAAAGAAATAATATATCATATTTGATTTTAGATAATTATTAGCAGATAAAATAGTTAGTAAAATTTTTTCTAAAACTAAAATTTTAATACCAAATACAAGATTTTAAAAACAAAAAAAAAAAACAGAAATATTATACAAATTATTAATTTTTTTAAAAAAATAAAAAAAAAAATATAATTTATTCATAATTATATTATATATATTGTAATAAAAAAACAAGATACTATTGTATTTATAATATATTAAAGATAATATATATTAACTATTCTAATAATTATTTTTTGTAATTTAAATATTTTAAAGTAATAAATAGACTTTAAATAAATTGTAATTTTTTTATATAACTATATTATTTAGTTTATAAAAATAATTTTTTTTTTATACTAAATTTAGTATAGCAAAAATTAAAACAAAAAGCAATAATTTGCAATTAATTTATAAAAAAAATTTATATATAATTATTAATAAAAATTTTATAAAAATATTAAAGAAAATTACTAGATTTACTTTACAAATATGATACTCTATTTTTTAAGAAAATAAAAATTTAAAATTAACTTTAGAGTTAAAGTAAATATTTTATTAAGGTCACTAGTTGAAAATTGTAAAAATAGCACTAAATTGTCAAATATTCAGTATACTATTTAGCAAATATTTAGCAAATATTCATTAAACATTCAATAGCTAAATATTTAACAAATATTTGCTAAATATTTGCTGAATAGTATGCTGAATATTTAACAATTTAGTGCTATTTTTACAATTTTTAACCAGTGGATTAGAGTTAGATATTATATATAAAAATTGAATACTAAAAACTTTTACTTAGTAATACAAAGCAAGTTTTATAATAGAATTTTGAGATATTAGTAATTTTTAATTTTTTTTCTTAATTTTCTTAATATTCATTACACAAAGATTCTGTGATCTAATTGGTTAATTATATAAACTAGATACATATCTATAAGGTACAAATAGAAATTCTCAATATTAAATTAGATTTAAAAAACATTTTTAACAAATTTTGAATAAAATATATTTTATAGTTAATTCAAAAAAATATTTTTTTATGTACTAAATTTAGTATATTTGGTCTACAGATACCCATTAAAGTTATAGATTTTTTAATTTATATTTATTTTGTCAAATTGTCTTAGATAATATTTTATTAGTATTAGAATAGATTTCGTATTTTAGTAAAAGTATAACTAGTTATATATATAACTTTAGTATTGTCGATTTAAGAATTCTACTTAAAAAATTACTTATTAATTGTTACTAGTATATCTAATAAAAAATTATAAATTTTTAATTAAACTTTTTGGCTTTTAATATAAAATCTTTAAATTCTTCATTTTATTTGTATAATTTATAACCCTAAAAGCATTTAATTTGTTTTTAGCTTAATCAAACCTATTTATTACAACTATTATATTTATTACAACAATTACACCTAGCTTTATATATCCAAAATACCTAGCCATTACATTTATTACAGCAAAAATTACAATTTCAAAATAAAAAATTGCAACCCTCCAATCTACCAAACTTATTACAGCAGGTAACCTTAGAACAACATGATCGAGGTATAAAAAGAGGAATCAAAGGATGACACAATAGACGAGTTCATTACATGGCCAAAAGGAAAGGAGAACTCAGACCCAGAATTATTAGAAAACGTGCTAAACTGTCAAAGTCGAATATCTCTTACTTTCTATAATTCAACGCGTTCATTATACCCCTAATCAGATAAATAAATAAAAACTTATTATATCCATAAATGGATAACTAAATTAATCGTAATGTCATATTATATAATCAGTCATTCAAACATAATAACACTCATGAAGCAGTGAATTATGTTTTTTTTTATTAAATTAATTAATTCATTATGTATAGTTAAGGGACGATGATTTTCTGCATTGCATAGAAATCACAAGATTATGGTGTGATATGAAGAAAGTGTCATAAATATTGCAGAATTGCCACAGAAAACGGTGAAATATTTAAATACTCTTTTTTTTGTACTAGATTATTTTATTTTTTTTAGGCCCAATTATCACCGCTGAAAATCATCTGGACGCTGAAATGAAATATCAGTTTGATATTGGATATAACGATAAAAGCCAACCCACACGTAAGATAACTAAAAAATTTATAAGACATAAATCATGTGCAACGTCTCACCCGCGTAATATATGTTAACACCTTAAATCTATATACTTTCTATCCAGTGTTACTTCACACAATCACAATATAGAATTTAATTAAAATTAGTAGTTTTAATTTCTAACAATATACCTTTTAAACATAACGTTAACTGGGTTAGTCACTAAGTTTCATAGGAGGATAAGAGGCGCCATTCGGATTCATCTAAACAAATTTCGTCAAAACAAATTGGTTCCGTTAAGGTGCGATATGTTAAGGTTTAACAGTCAATTTAGTAAAATTCACAGTGAACAAGTGAATATAATATAGTCAAAAAATTTCGAGTCACGATTGATTTGGAAATTTGAATGAATATAACGATAATTGATATATTGGATTTTAGTTGTGCTCACTAATTCGCGTGAATTAGTTTCCTAAAATGTATTATTAATTGTGTACTATTTTGTAGTTCCACCTGTTTGTAGCATACACGAAATCATTTATTCTAAAACATTCAATCTGGCTTCTTTTTAATTATAAAATTTAAGATTCTTTTCACAACACTGAAAATTTTTATCAAATCAAGTATGTTTTTTTTTTTTTTTTTTATGGTCTTGCTTTCTCAAGTATTTTATTAAAATTTCTAATAAATTTACTTTAGAATGGATATTGAATGCATTAGTCCAGAAGGTTTCGGATTTCGCGTTGAAAGAAAATCTTCGTATACACTACTTTATCTATTCAAACATAAACAACGAGATAACGCTGCAAATTATGTATGCTTCTATGAAACAGACACTCTGAAAAATAAAATTTTAGATCCGGATCAAAAGAATAATTATTTTAAGTTGACGAAAGCCACTATATCCTGTAGAATTATCGATAAAACGAATGCACAAACTCTTGTTAACATTAACTTTTGTTAATTTATTATTTGTTTATCTTTTTTTTTTTTTTTTTTAAAAAAAAAAAAATCAATAATTAGATAAATCGATGTTATATCAACCTTTAATTGTTCAATAGGAGTTTCAGAGTCAAATTAAGAACATTTAATTACAGTAAAATAGGCAACTTTTTTTTTAAAAAAAAAAAAAAAATTTTGGGAGGCTTCAAAGTTAATTTAAGAGAATCTGATTTAAAATGGTAATGTATTTCTATTGAATTAAACTATTTACAAATCTTATTTCATTTTCAAGTTCCAAATATTCTTATTTACAGTATATGGTCATTTTTAAACAATTTTAAAACTAAAAAAAAAAAGTTTTATTTGTTAAATGGGGAGTCTTCAAACATTTCGTTTTTATATTTTGATATCAAACAAAATTCGATTTTTAAACTCTTAACTTATTTTCTTTTTTTCGAAATATCGGTACCTGTCTATAATTTTATTTCAATTTCGTGAATAAACTTAAATGGGTTCACCTTTTTATTCAATTATATTTTATTAAACTACTTTATATATAAAAACTTTAATATAAAAATTTTATTCTGTAAGAACGGGAATCTCCAAACACTTCAATTTCGATCTCTTGTTTGATACTATTCGATTTTAAAGCTTTAGTTATTACTGAACAATTACTTAAATAAACCATTTTTCTTAATTCTGTCCATTTGAAGATCGGATAATAGTCTACTATTTATGAAAGACGGTATGGCTAAAACAAATGATTATAATTTACAGAAGCATTCACTTTGGAAAACGATTTGATAATTTTAAACTAGTGGCTGCAACAAATTTGTTCAGCTTTAACATAATTTTAGCTAATAATCATAACTTTGACAAGAAATTGGTTGTTTAATAAAATTTTAAGTATACGGGTCTTATACCACGAAAATCAAAGTTTGGATCATATGATTTTCTATGTCCCGTAAGGTCATTTTCAAGGCAAGCCAATCACAATTGATGTTATTTGATGTGCTACAAACCTTGACCGGTAGTCATACAAAAAGCACATATGTATACTGTCGGAGGCTATCTGCACTACCTCCACTCACAAGAATCAAGGCGACAGCGTCGCTACAAGAATCAAGACGCAGCGTAACGTGACACTACCTTAAAAACGTGACACTACCTTAAAAGAGAGGCGGGATTTGGCAAGGTTAAGGCGTAGCGAAACGTTAGGCGAAGGTAAGTATTTATTTATTTATTTATTATTGGATTATTATTGATACATTGAAAATTGTCCGAACTCTGTCCAATCTAATCTTAAACTTGTATCCCTTTTATACAAAATTCGGATACACAGAAAAAAGAACAAAAAAGAAAATGAAGGAAAGAAACATGATTCTAACGAAGGTTTCACTTCGTAAACAGCCTTAAAACCCGTCATGGCGTTGAGACATGGCCACAAACTTATCCGGATATGGTTAATTTAACCCATTGTTATTCTAAGCCGCAATCTTTGACAATCGGGTTAATTATCCAACAGTGCCTTTTTGGGTTTAACCACGATTTTGCTGATCATTGGATCTTCACATGCGGTTCGGGTCATGCGGGTCTTTGGATCGGTTTCCAGACTTCGCGAGTCACTTTGAGGCAGGGTTCCTACTTTCTTTGGTATACCGATTTTGCCCCTGACGATACGTATCGATATAAATAGCGTAACTATATTAGAGGACTAAAATAATAATAAATTCAAGATGGAAAAATTCTTTGAAAAACTTTCAAATGATTACCTTGAACTTCTTAACGACAAAGAAGATTTTAATGTGATCATTAATGTTGGAGAAACACAAAATTCTAAGATATTCCAAGCACACTCAAATATATTAAAATATAGGTCTTTATATTTTCGTAACGAATTAGCGAATATTAGCAAAGATAAAAATAATATTAAAACGATTAATTTAAATCATATTTCTGTTCAACAATTTGAAATAATCATTAAGTAAGCTATATATATTTTTTTATTAGGCTTTATCTAAATTTCTAAATCTCATACTATATTTAGGGATTAAATTAAAGACTAATTTTATAGTACATAAATATTTAATTTGATTATGTTCAAAAACTAACATTTAATTCATTGCATTAATAATTTAACGAAGATATATCTACGGAGGAGTGGCTTTGTTAGAAAATCAAGCTGCATCATTCATTTTTGAACTCATGTTTGTTGCCTCCGAATTTCTTCTTGATGAATTAGCAAAATATCTTGAAGCTCAGTTAATTAAAGAAAATTCACACTGGCTCCGTTTACATTTTTCACGTATCTATTTTAAAAGTTTCAAAAATGAAAAACTTCACGAATTACAAAAATGGTGTAACAATATTTTGGCAAAGTATCCAGATAAGATTTTAGAGTCAGAAGATTTCGCCTCCATTCCAGAAAATGCATTGATCTCACTTATTGAGCGAGATGATTTACAAATGGAAGAAGTGAAAATTTGGAATCATGTTATTAGATGGGGAATTTCTCAAAGCACAGAATTACCATCTGATCTTAAAGATTGGTCTCACGAAAATTTTTTAATCTTAAAGACTACTTTAAAGAATTGCTTACCTTATATCCGCTATTTTCAAATGACAGATGATGATATTTTTGATAAAGTGAAACCATATAAAAAAATTCTTGAAAAAAGTCTTTGGGATGATATACTCAAAAGACTTGTCGTTCCAGATAGTCAAATATCATCAACAATTCTTCCTCCCCGTAAAATTTCAACACCAACATTACCACTTGAATCATTTCATTCAACAGTTATCAATCAAGATCATGCAGCCGAAATTGCATCATGGGTTGATAATAAAACTGAAGTATATTCAGTAAGGAATAATCCATATAAGTTTAAACTACTTCTTCGTGGAACAAGAGATGGTTTTACTGCCCAATCATTTTGGAATTTATGTGACTTGCAAGCAAACACGGTTGTAGTAATGAAGGTTAAAGGCACTGATGAAATTCTTGGTGGTTATAATCCAATTCAATGGAATAAATCAGTTAATTATTTTGTGAGTTGTGACGATAGCTTTATTTTTTCACTGAAAAATGGTACTATTCAATCATCTATTTTAAGTCGTGTAAAAAATACAAAAACTGCAATTTGTTGCCAATCTATACAGGGTCCAACTTTTGGTGGTGGCCCTGATATTTGGATGCTAAATAATTCTAATCAAAATAATCGATGTTCTTGTAGACAACATTCATACGAAAAAGAAATTAGAAACAACGTTAAAACCACAAGTGGTGTTTCTTATTTCTGTGTAGAGGAATATGAAATATTTCAAATTCAGAAAAAGTAGATATATTATAAATAATATAAATTATAATATCTAGCTGGTAGAATTTATACTGTTTATAACTTAAATTTTAATCAATTCGAATGCCATCTTTAAAAAGTATATAAATTTATTAATTGATTAATAGGTTAAATATCAATTATTTTTATTAATGATTCAATATTGTTGCAAATAGTTGTCTCGTTTTGTGAAGTAAATTCCTTACTATTAAAGCTATCAATAGAAAACAAGCAGATTAAAATTTTTTACCTTACCTTTCAAAATTTATGTCTTCAATGAATTTTTAAGCTATTTTAATAATTGAATAATTATAATTTGCGCCAGTGGTTAACATAGGTGTAAATAACCATAGACACT